CCCCCGACACATCAGCCCGCAGCACAAACGCATGAGGAGAGACTGGTGAGTTTATCGACCCCCCGTCTCATGTGAGTGTTCCCCTTCCTCTTATTAATGTTTTACATGTTGCAGGGACGACCACCGGGGGGAGCCTTACCGCTACGACATGCCGTACGGAGGAGGCGGGGCTCCATTTCCAGGGGCGGGGCCTCAGGGCTGGCATCCGGACCTCCCCCACCACCTCCATCCACATCATGGAGGTCACCCGCTGCAGGGCAGGTGAGCGTGCTCAACGTCACCGCCACAAATCTTCCATCCAGTGGACGAGTTTCCATTTTTTTATGAAGCTGTTGTTGATTATTATGACAAAGATCGTATCGTTGAATCGTTCTGGTTGACCCGGCCCTGTGAGTCATGTCAAAATGGCCGACATGAGGATTAGAGACGATGTTGAATGAACATGTTTCAGTTTAATTTTCTGTACGTAAACTCTTTTTGTAATGTGTGTGTCAGGTTGGGGATGATGGACCCGGACCTCCCTCCTCCCGGTCCTCCCGTCATGAGGAGCTTTAAGGTGAGTGTGCAGTGTGTGTGTTTGGGACGCCGGCCGGTCAAGTGAGGTGTCGTCTGAGCTGTTGGTGTCCGTGCGTCTGTCTGCAGGAGTTTCTGCTGAACATGGAGGACAGCGTGGACGAGACGGAGTCGGTGAAACGCTACAATCAGTACAAACTGGACTTCAGGCGGCAGCAGCTGCAGGACTTCTTCCTCCAGCACAAAGACCAGGAGTGGTTCCGCTCCAAGTACCACCCTGATGACATCACAGCAAAGAAGGCGGAGTCTCTGGCGGCCCTCAAGACCCGGCTGGGCGTCTTCCTCTTCCTGCTCAACAACCACTGGATGGAAAACATGTCCCTTGATATGGAGCACGCCCCCTCTATCATCAAACTGCTGGACGCAGGTACACAGAGAGAGAGAGAGACAGTTAGAGACACAGAGAGACAGACAGGCACGTTTTGGGACATGACTGAGATAAAGCTGAAACTTAAGTACTGAAATTAAGTCCTAAAAACCTGCAGTTCCTCCAGTGTCCACTAGAGTCTGTCTCCTGCAGTGAGTCAGTCCTCATAGAGCTCTATGTTAAAATGTCTAACTTTACAGCTGCAGTTCCTCCAGTGTCCACTAGAGTCTGTCTCCTGCAGTGAGTCAGTCTCCATAGAGCTCTATGTTCAAATGTCTAACTTTACAGCTGCAGTTCCTCCAGTGTCCACTAGAGTCTGTCTCCTGCAGTGAGTCAGTCCTCATAGAGCTCTATGTTAAAATGTCTAACTTTACAGCTGCAGTTCTTCCAGTGTCCACTAGAGTCTGTCTCCTGCAGTGAGTCAGTCCTCATAGAGCTCTATGTTAAAATGTCTAACTTTACAGCTGCAGTTCCTCCAGTGTCCACTAGAGTCTGTCTCCTGCAGTGAGTCAGTCCTCATAGAGCTCTATGTTAAAATGTCTAACTTTACAGCTGCAGTTCCTCCAGTGTCCACCAGAGTCTGTCTCCTGCAGTGAGTCAGTCCCCATAGAGCTCTATGTTAAAATGTCTAACTTTACAGCTGCAGTTCCTCCAGTGTCCACTAGAGTCTGTCTCCTGCAGTGAGTCAGTCCTCATAGAGCTCTATGTTAAAATGTCTAACTTTACAGCTGCAGTTCCTCCAGTGTCCACTAGAGTCTGTCTCCTGCAGTGAGTCAGTGCTCATAGAGCTCTATGTTAAAATGTCTAACTTTACAGCTGCAGTTCCTCCAGTGTCCACTAGAGTCTGTCTCCTGCAGTGAGTCAGTCCTCATAGAGCTCTATGTTAAAATGTCTAACTTTACAGCTGCAGTTCCTCCAGTGTCCACTAGAGTCTGTCTCCTGCAGTGAGTCAGTCCTCATAGAGCTCTATGTTAAAATGTCTAACTTTACAGCTGCAGTTCCTCCAGTGTCCACTAGAGTCTGTCTCCTGCAGTGAGTCAGTCCTCATAGAGCTCTATGTTAAAATGTCTAACTTTACAGCTGCAGTTCCTCCAGTGTCCACAGAGTCTGTCTCCTGCAGTGAGTCAGTCCCCATAGAGCTCTATGTTAAAATGTCTAACTTTACAGCTGCAGTTCCTCCAGTGTCCACTAGAGTCTGTCTCCTGCAGTGAGTCAGTCCTCATAGAGCTCTATGTTAAAATGTCTAACTTTACAGCTGCAGTTCCTCCAGTGTCCACTAGAGTCTGTCTCCTGCAGTGAGTCAGTGCTCATAGAGCTCTATGTTAAAATGTCTAACTTTACAGCTGCAGTTCCTCCAGTGTCCACTAGAGTCTGTCTCCTGCAGTGAGTCAGTCCTCATAGAGCTCTATGTTAAAATGTCTAACTTTACAGCTGCAGTTCCTCCAGTGTCCACTAGAGTCTGTCTCCTGCAGTGAGTCAGTCCTCATAGAGCTCTATGTTAAAATGTCTAACTTTACAGCTGCAGTTCCTCCAGTGTCCACCAGAGTCTGTCTCCTGCAGTGAGTCAGTCCCATAGAGCTCTATGTTAAAATGTCTAACTTTACAGCTGCAGTTCCTCCAGTGTCCACTAGAGTCTGTCTCCTGCAGTGAGTCAGTCCTCATAGAGCTCTATGTTAAAATGTCTAACTTTACAGCTGCAGTTCCTCCAGTGTCCACTAGAGTCTGTCTCCTGCAGTGAGTCAGTCCTCATAGAGCTCTATGTTAAAATGTCTAACTTTACAGCTGCAGTTCCTCCAGTGTCCACTAGAGTCTGTCTCCTGCAGTGAGTCAGTCCTCATAGAGCTCTATGTTAAAATGTCTAACTTTACAGCTGCAGTTCCTCCAGTGTCCACTAGAGTCTGTCTCCTGCAGTGAGTCAGTCCTCATAGAGCTCTATGTTAAAATGTCTAACTTTACAGCTGCAGTTCCTCCAGTGTCCACTAGAGTCTGTCTCCTGCAGTGAGTCAGTCCTCATAGAGCTCTATGTTAAAATGTCTAACTTTACAGCTGCAGTTCCTCCAGTGTCCACTAGAGTCTGTCTCCTGCAGTGAGTCAGTCTCATAGAGCTCTATGTTAAAATGTCTAACTTTACAGCTGCAGTTCCTCCAGTGTCCACTAGAGTCTGTCTCCTGCAGTGAGTCAGTCCTCATAGAGCTCTATGTTAAAATGTCTAACTTTACAGCTGCAGTTCCTCCAGTGTCCACTAGAGTCTGTCTCCTGCAGTGAGTCAGTCCTCATAGAGCTCTATGTTAAAATGTCTAACTTTACAGCTGCAGTTCCTCCAGTGTCCACTAGAGTCTGTCTCCTGCAGTGAGTCAGTCCTCATAGAGCTCTATGTTAAAATGTCTAACTTTACAGCTGCAGTTCCTCCAGTGTCCACTAGAGTCTGTCTCCTGCAGTGAGTCAGTCCTCATAGAGCTCTATGTTAAAATGTCTAACTTTACAGCTGCAGTTCCTCCAGTGTCCACTAGAGTCTGTCTCCTGCAGTGAGTCAGTCCTCATAGAGCTCCATGTTAAAATAAACATGTTTACAGTCTGGTACCAAAACAGTTTGGGTCTCTGGAGCTCATTTCTCTCTTCACCTGTACGGGCTGAATGTTTATACTACTCACCTGTTTACATTATATTAAGTCTTAAAGGCATGTTTAATTAGGGGGCGTGGCCTCTTTGAGTGACAGGAGGGAGCTTCTAGGTGTCACTTAATCTCTAGCTCCACTTTTCCACCATCTCTTCCAAATATGAACACTTTTGATGTTGGCAGTGGATTGTGGGTAATGAAGTTCTCACTCCCCTTTTCTCTCTCTCTCTCTCGCTCGCTCGCTCTATGTAGCGGTAATAAAGATGGAGGGAGGGACAGACCTTGACCTGCAGGTCCTGGAGGTACCAACGTCCACTGCAGCGTCCGGGGGGGAGGCCAGCAGCAGCAGTGGAGGAGGAGGAGAGAAGAGTCAGACAGAATCCAGCGGGGGAAACGCGAGTGCTCAGACCAGCTCCGAGTCGACGGGGAGTCGGACAGACGAGATGAAGAGCGGCGAGACAGGCGAGGTGAAAGACTCTGAGAAGGTCAGTACGAGGTCGATGAACTAATAAACTTTTGATTTGAAATGAACCGTCGCAGAGGGAGACACTGTGACGTTCTGTCTCCGTCCCAGGACTGTGACGAAGAAGCAAAGCAGAACGGAGACGAGGAGAAGGATGAGGAAGAGGAGGAGGAGGAGGGAGAGGAGGAGGAGAAGAAGAGGAAGAAGAAGAAGAAGAAGAAGAAGAGGAAGAAGGAGGAGGAAGAAGAAGAAGAAGAGGGGGAGGAGGAGGAAGAGGAGACCACAAAAAAAGTGAGTCACTCCTCTGTTCTTCACTGCTCTGAATGATGACAGTGGGTTTAACCCCGCCCCCTTCTTTTCAGGGCAGGAAGAGGAAACGCAGCGTGTCAGTGGACAGCGGCGAGGGCAGCGCCTCGGACTCGGACTCCTCCCACTCTGACGGAGAGAAGGAGGAAGACGAGGAGGAGAAGGAGGAAGAGGAGGAGGATGGAGAGAGTGGTAAGCGGCGGAAAGAGCGGGGGAAGGAGCGAGGGAAGGAGAGAGAGAAGGAAGCTCCTGCCAAGCCCCGCCCCCTCCACCTCACCACATCCTTGTTCATCAGGAGCATCCCCCCCGAGGTGTCCAAGGAGGAGATTACAAATGTAAGAACAAACACACACCTGTACACGAACACACACCTGTACACGAACACACACCTGTACACAAACACACACCTGTACACAAACACACACCTGTACACGAACACACACCTGTACACAAACACACACCTGTACACGAACACACACCTGTACACAAACACACACCTGTACACAAACACACACCTGTACACACACCTGTACACAAACACACACCTGTACACACACCTGTACACAAACACACACCTGTACACACACCTGTACACAAACACACACCTGTACACACACCTGTACACAAACACACACCTGTACACACACCTGTACACAAACACACACCTGTACACACACACACCTGTACACAAACACACACCTGTACACAAACACACACCTGTACACACACACCTGTACACACACACCTGTACACGAACACACACCTGTACACGAACACACACCTGTACACGAACACACACCTGTACACGAACACACACCTGTACACGAACACACACCTGTACACAAACACACACCTGTACACAAACACACACCTGTACACACACCTGTACACAAACACACACCTGTACACAAACACACACCTGTACAAACACACACCTGTACACACACACACCTGTACACAAACACACACCTGTACACAAACACACACCTGTACACAAACACACACCTGTACACACACACCTGTACACGAACACACACCTGTACACGAACACACACCTGTACACGAACACACACCTGTACACACACCTGTACACACACACCTGTACACACACACCTGTACACGAACACACACTTGTACACACACCTGTGCACGAACACACACCTGTGCACGAACACACACCTGTACACGAACACACACCTGTACACGAACACACACACCTGAACACACACACCTGTGCACACACACCTGTACACACACACCTGTACACACACACCTGTACACGAACACACACTTGTACACACACCTGTGCACGAACACACACCTGTGCACGAACACACACCTGTGCACGAACACACACCTGTACACGAACACACACCTGTACACGAACACACACCTGTGCACGAACACACACCTGTGCACGAACACACACCTGTACACAAACACACACCTGTACACGAACACACACCTGTACACAAACACGTACACACACACTTGTACACAAACACGTACACACACACTAACACACCTGTACACAAACACACACCTGTACACACACACCTGTACACACACACCTGTACACAAACACACCCACACCTACACACAAACACCTGTACACGTACACACACACACACACTAACACACCTTTACACAAACACACACTCATACTAACTTGATGGATGTGTTCAGTTGTGTCGCAGGTATCCAGGCTTCCTGCGGGTGGCGCTGTCTGACCCTCAGCCCGAGAGGAGGTGAGTCACTCGGTTTCTCAGCAGGCGCTCCTACAAGCAGAGAGAACTCCCATGATTCCCCACTAGCCTCGACGCCCCCTGGTGGCCGAATCTACATATTGTATCTTTAACTGGTGTCTCCAGCTGACATTTCTGATCATCAGTTTTGACATTCTGCATGTTAATTTACATCCAATAATTAACGGATCATTGGAATAACAAATAAAAAATACATCAGCATGATGAGGAGGCGGAGCTTATGACCTATACTGCAGCCAGTCAGCAGGGGGCGCTCTAAATGTTGTGTGTTTGTGTTTCAGGTTCTTCAGGCGCTGCTGGGTGACATTCGATCGCAGCGTGAACATAAAGGAGACGTGCTGGAACCTGCAGAACATCAGGGTAACACACACACACACACACACACACACACACACACACACACACTAATTATCATATAAGGTGGTGACGACTCTACACCCCCCCACCTCTCTCTCTCTCTCTCTCTCTCTCAGCTCAGGGACTGTGAGCTCGCCCCGGTGGTGAACAGAGATCTGTGTCGGCGTGTTCGCACCGTTAACGGTCTGACTCACCACAAACCGGTAGTGAGGAACGACATCCGTCTGTCGGCCCGACTCATCCACAGTTTGGACCAGAAGGGGGCGCTGTGGGCCGGAGAGG